TTTATTTCTACTGTTTTGTTTTAACGGTTTAACGCAGTTTAATCAATGCATTATGATTTTGCCAAACTGTGACGGCCATATTGTCACAAACTTCGATTAGTACTCGGAATACGCATTAGAGGTGTTGTTAGTTACGGGCATGATCAGGCTTCGGTCAAAATGAGTTATCATAGATCAATAATCGACATTTTCTAAATTAATTTAAAATTGTTTAGAATTCGTCAGAGTAGCGCACAATTATTAAGCACAGTTTTATTTTTTTATTTTTTTAAAAATATATAAAAAGGGCAATTTATGTGAACTATTCTAAGTTCTAAGAAAGTCAAGATCTTTCAGCAAAAAATTCGTTTTAGCCAAATACGTTGAAAACACAATGGAAGACAATTTTCAGTTCAATGGCAGTGAATCGAGAAAAAAAACACTATTTTTTCGATTGCTTACATTGGCTGGTATACCCAAACACGACAATTCACAAAACGTATTTAGAGCCGAATATTTATTTTAAATGTCTTTCGTGTGCAGCAAATAATTATTTGTACGCTTGAAATGTTTTTCTTTTACAAGGCGAATAAATCGTGCCGCAGAAAAGTGTGATGAAATGAATTTGTTGTGTTTTAAATGTGTCTCACAATCAGGGATTGTTCCTCTGAGGAGGAGGATGGTGAGGAGGAAAATGAGGAGGAGGAGGAGGAGAGCGTGAGGAGGAAAAGTTTTTTTTCTCAAAGGGCTATTTTTATCACAAAAATATAATTTTTAGCTAAAAACATTTTCCTCCTCAGTTGTGGAGGAGGATCCTCCTCGCTCTCCTCCTCCTCCTCATTTTCCTCCTCCTCAGAGGAACAATCCCTGCTCACAATTGATTGATAGTTTGAAGTGTGGTGTGTACTGACAAATGCTACATTTCTTGAATTAAGGTTATTATAACTTTAATTGCATGATATATTTATTCAATATGGAATGTACAAGTTTTATTCAAACAAATTGAAGAATAAACACATTGATTTCAATTTTATTAATTTTGCGTCAACGAAATTAAATTTTCATTGAGAAATTTATATGCAGTGACGATTGATATTTTGTATATATTTTATCACAATAATGTAGTATTGAGACTCTCAATTTGAGAGGAAGTATGGAGAGAGAACATTTATCAGATATTATAAAAAAATGATTTATTAGGAGCATGTCGTTTACTCTTTATTTCGAAACTGTTGAGCACTTTGCAGAAACTGTGCAGTTTATTTTTAAACTGCATTTACGACCACAAATCATTTCGTTTGTGATCGATTTTTATTACTGACAGACAATAAAACCGCTCCAACTTTTTTTTATTTAATAATTATCAGTAAGTAAAAGCAGTCCAACACCCAGGCTTCAAATATGTAATCATTAATTTTGTTTTCGCTATTTGATTGTTTTGTGTGAGCTTTCTATTGCCAATAATTTACTGCTGACAACATAGTATATAATACACTAGGGGATAAACACAAAATTAGAAAACTAAAAAAACCAGTGAATAGATTGAGCTACAGCTATATCAGTGCTATTTTCACAGCTCCTATTCATAGGCGCTGTTTGCGACTTTAAGATACAATTCCGAACGAAATGTTCAAAATGTAAATAAATAGACTTATTGATTTTAGTAATTTTTTGCATAAACAAATCAATAAGTCTATTGTCCCAACGATTGTAAACGCTGTAGTTCAGTGTTTAATTGAGTAGGGCGGCGCCACCGTCTATACATACAAATGTCCATTTAAATCAGCGCCATCTACGCTAAAACATACTTTTGGTTGGAAATAAAACGCCATCATATTCCGATATTGTATTGTCCGGAATTGTATCATAAAAACGCTATCCGTATGCGTTGTTCACAAATAGCACCTATGAATAGGAGCTGTGAAAATAGCACTGCTATAGCTGTAGCCCAATCTATTCACTGAAAAAAACTAAGAAAAATTAGGGTTTTTTAGGTCCTATCATATGTATCCATACGTTATATGCGATTTACTAAAAGAAAATTGGCAAAATTATAGAACGTTTCTCCCCCTTGGTATATACATATAATATCAACAGACTGCATTGTGAATCAAATTCAATTTGTACGTCAATTATTAATGATAAAAGTTTTGAATCTTTGGTAAACATTCTAATAGCTGTGATCGATGCGTGATCGCAGCAGTTCAATTGTGAACGCGAAACGTTTTGAACGTACAATATTTTGGTAGTCAAATGAAGGCTCACTTTACCCGTAACAATTCAACCGCGCTTAAAAACAAGCGCTTGTTCTTATTTTTGCGCCTATCCATATACTCAATGTTTAAAAAATGCATCGCCAAAATAAGAGCAAGCGCTTGTTTTTAAGCGCGGTTGTATGTTACGGGTAGTAACAGTGTTTCTGAGTGCCACTGATTTTGAATTAAAATGGATTAATTGTGATGTGTATTTCTCTGATAAGGTTTATGTGATCATTATTGATACTTTGGAAAATTTTGGTGAAAAATCTTACAGCAGCGAAAGATAAGTAATCAAAAGAGAGAAATTTTGAACACGGAACGGTTTAGGCGTGCGATACTTTGGGCGTCAAATGATCTTTTGCCTTTGTAAAAGTATTTCTGTGTCAGTATCAGTGCCATTAAATGAACTAAAATTGCCTATAAACATAAAATGTAAGAATTTCAAATCGATTCGAATAAAAACGAATCGAAATATAACACGTGAAATGAAACCATTTAATGATTGTTTTTTCCTATAAATTTAACCCGAAATTTGTTGAAAATATAAAGGAAAATAAATGTGTGCAGTACTCCACAAAAGAGCGAACAAGCCGAAGATTCAACGACAATAAGTTTTATCTCCTTGGTATAATTAGTTTTACATTAACTTCCAATAGTTAACTTACACATTTTTCTGAATTGTTTTCAGTATCGGTTTGCATCGCGATCGGATTTAATCTTAATATCGATTGGTCTATTTTGTACTCTCATTAAGTCATGCACTTTTCCATTTCTCACACTTATTTACGGTGAATTTACTACCTTGTTGGTGGATCGAAATTACGGCAGTGGAACAAGCACACCAACTTTGGTGCTGAAATGGTTTGGAGGTGGAAAAATATTGTACGTATCAACTGATGGAAATTTTCTTTGTATTTTTGCATATTAAAAATGTATTGTTTCATCTAAAGGACAAACGCATCACAAGCGGAAAATAACGAAGAAATGAGAAATGATTCGATAGCCTTTGTGATTGCGTCATTGGTCGAGACAGCAGTTGTTATAGTGGCTGGAATTATTTGTGTTGATTGTTTCAATCATGCAGCAATTTCACAAGTTACTCGTATTCGAATAGCGTATTTTACAGCGCTGATGCAAAAAGATGCGAGATTTTATGACATTGAAAAGGGAAAATCTAATTTCACCGTTCGACTTGCTGAGTAAATTAAACAAAATATGGAATTATATGAAATTAAATGGAATAAAACAATTACTTTTTTATTGACAGTGACAT